GAGAGAGAGAGAGAGAGAGAGAGAGAGAGAGAGAGAGAGAGAGAGAGAGAGAGAGAGAGAGAGAGAGAGAGAGAGAGAGGATGGGCCTGTGCTTGCCGATATTGCCGTTTGTGGCTGTGAAGAGCTTGGTTGGCAGTGGCAGGCATTGTCGAGCATGTATTCCGCTGGCTGTCTCTTGCAGGTGTCATTGATCTATCGACGCGGGGTGGAGGTGCAGTGATGGGGATTTTGAACAGGTGACTTGTAGGTGACCTGTATGTGGTTGGTTGCTCTTTTTGCCAAGGGACTCGTAGGCAATCTGTGTGTGGTCGTTGTCTAGCCAAGGGACAGGTAGGTGACCTGTATGTGGTCACTCTCTGGGGTATTGAGACTTGGGAGTACAGAGGGCATGCGTGATCATGCATCTGAAGATTCTGAACCAAGTCAAACCAGGGAGAGCAAGAAGAAGAAAAAAAAAAAAAAAAAAAGAGAGCATGGAGCAAAGCTTACTGTATATCTTCTCCCTGAAATCGACTTCTGGTTTCAAATTTCATTTCAAGTTTTGGTCTTGTTTTTCATTCAGAGGCAGCCTATTTACTCCTGTGAGGTTGCGGTTGTCCTTTCAATGATCTGTCAGTTCTCACAAGACATCTCTTTTCTTTGGCATCCTACCATTAGATGCCTGTCCCCCCTCACTGGGGTCAATCATGTATAGTATAGACCCCAGTGTGGTTGTCCTTTCAGTGATCGATGGGACCATATAATCCCTATTTCTTCTAGGCCGTCCGACGCTTAGCTGCCTGTCTCTGTCAAGCATGTGAGGTATAGACCACATGTGAAGTATGCTCCCCACGAATAGATCGGAGCATGTCTTCCAAAAAAAAAAAAAAAAAAAAAAAGTATAGACCACGTCACTACTCTGTGGGTTACCTGCCTGCATGCCTTATTTGACTCTTCCTATCAGACATGCTACCATCCCTACAAGTCTCCCCCACTCTCTGGTCTTGCTTGTCCGTCGGCTCTGTCACCAATTCAAACGTTCTCATTCTCTTTTGCACATTGCTTGCTGCCTCTTTTGGGATCGTGTAGGGGAGGAGGCTGTGGCGTGCGCCACCAATGTGGTGGTCCAACCATTCTCTGCTGGAGAGACAGCACACAGCTCAAGGGAGTTGTTACGCTTGTGTACGACTTTGCACCCCCATTACTGTCGCTCCCACCATTAGTAAGATAGTTTAAAAAAAAAAAAAAAAAAAAAAGATTCTCCTAGCTTTAGTCTGGTGGAGCTTTGCCAGTCTATTAGTCGTCTGGCTATGAGTCAACAAGTTAGCTCCATGACTGTCATTCCCCCCTGTCCTTCACCATGGATCAAGTACATTCTCTAGGTGCCTTTTCATTTGCCTATCCTTCTTCTTAACTCCTTCCAGTCTTTCATCTGTCTCGATCGGGATTCGAACTCATGCACTGTTTACTAACAGTTACACATGTGTACATCTTGCTATCCTTCTCGTTGATGCCTTGTCATTCCGATGTTGTTTGCGTTGCAAACAAAAAGGACCTCACCTATGTTGGGGTGTGAAAGGGTTTGGAGGGTGGGGGAACGGTTGTTGAACACTTTCTTGAAGGTCGATGGACCTCCTTGGTGGAGGTGATGGAGATACGGTAATTGCAATCGCTCGCTCACCGTCTGGTTCCAGATTGCAAAAGAACCAGTACGATATGCGATATGTGCAACCCAAAAAAAAAAAAAAAAAAAAAAAAAAAAAGG